CCGGGGGGGGGGGGGAGGGGGGGGGGGGTCGATTTGTTTCCCTTCCGCCAGAAAAGCCAACACAACATCCCCATGAAAGGAGGGATGCGGGGGGCGCCCCACGGGTACGCAGTGGACCCCCCTCTCCCGGGCGGTTTTCGTGATGATCTATTTGCGGTACAGTACCCACCCCACAAGTCGACAACGTGGCGACTTCCGCTGCAGCTCGGTGAAGGCACCTACATGGACAGATGGTTCGGGGGTGGCGGGGTCACTTACTTACGCCAGTCGTCGTGCTCGAAGGAGCACCCGCGCCCTTACTATAATGGAATAGAATACGCACCTCGTTGTTGACGTCGACCCACACCTCACCATCCCAATCGGCGAGAGGCGCCCCCAGCCCTTCCTCAGGGAAGTCGTCGGCATCCTCACGCCAATCCTCCCTCGTCCCAGCCGAAAAGTCTGCAGTGTGTAGCAGGGGCGGCGAGGGTGTACCTCATGGTCGTGCATGCCGTAGTCGTTCGACCATTGACCTCGCAGAGAGTGTTTTGTTGTTGTCTGCCTTGGGTAATTCGACCGCGGAGCTCACACCCCTTTCGAGAGCGCTATTTCTATATGTTCCAGGAGAAAGAAGGGGTTCTCAGCTTATTTCGGTTACAAAGGGAACGGTTGTGGGGCTAGAGTGAAACAGGCGATCTCCCCACTACTACTCTACCATGGTATATAGCAGTACATAGGGTCCGCATACCAGATAAAATACACAATTGTCACCCCGCGTTTGCGCGGTCGAGGAAACGTATCGCCGGTGACGCCACAAGGAATGTCCAGGAAAGAAAAAGGGCGTGTCAGCCGGGACAAAAGACGTGCCCACGTCCAGACAACAACCAAAAGAGCGTTCGGTTATCAGCAACGCAGACTTCTACCCCAACTTGGACAAGAAACCGTCTTCTTGTGGGTGCGGTTCTTACCGGAAGCAGCACGGGAAGCAACCGGGAAGAAGGCGAAAAAGAGGAAATTGCTTGTCCTCATAGACATCGCGGTCTCTTTCGGATTTCTGCCTTCCGACGAAGGCGGCACGCGGGCTGTCTGCCCAAGTAACAACTATACTACTGTAGGCAGCGGTGCTTTCGAAAAAGACAAAGTCGTTCGTTTGTTCATGAATGTTCCTATCTTGCGGCCACTTTCATACACTCACAGCATATGACAACGCTCCCCTGGGCCTTGATCTCGTCAAAGACCGACGTGTCGACATCTGCGCGCACAGAATGGACACGAAAAGCCATCAGCCAAACCCAGAAGACACGAGAAGGTAGGCCGGACGCAAAGACACTGAAGATAACGTTGGACTTGCAGCAGGCATGCACGGACAAAAAACGTCCAGCCAAAAGGCTGGTGGTGTGCTCAATGCTCACGTTCGATTCCACGAAAAGATTGCAGCGAAAGCAGCGTGAGCTAGTCTACGATCATGGACAACGCCCCCCTTGCGGAGAGGATCCGAGTGGGAAAAAAAGTGCCGTTGTTCTCTTGGTTTTCGACCCGACTGTCACACGCATTTTGTTCTCAGTACGAGTGTCACCCCCCCCCCCCCCCCCCCCCGGGGGGGGTCCACCAAAACATTTCCCCAAAAAGAAAGGAAAACAACCAAGCCTGAAAACTTTCTAAAATTTCCCCACAAGGTTTCCCCCCCACCGGGGGGGGGGCCTCCAAAAACAAAACCCCCCTTTAGG